TAGAGAATGTGTTTTTATATGTGTGTGTGTTTGTGCCTGAATTTACTGTTCCACAATATTGTCTTTGTGTGTTTTCCGTGTGCGTGTCAGCAAGTATTCTCAGCTCCCGCTGTGCTGTAACCGTCTCTCTGGGAAACGGACACATCCTTCCGAGGCCCGGTTCCTCTCAGGGGTCACGGCACGGGTCAGAGTTGAGGTGTCAGGAAGGTCATTTCCGTGATGATAATTCTCCTCCAGCTCAGACACCAGGGACATTTTTTGCGGCGTGAAAGTCGTGCAGTCGCACAGCGGCGACTGAGCTCAGCGTGGGGGCGAGCGAGCACACACATCTATCTCCCTCTATTACCCAGCCCCTGCCTCGGCCCGACCCGTCGTCCTCTCCTCCACCGCAGCTTGTTTTTCTCCACCTGGTCCGTCATTCCGACACTGGTCACACCATCGACACTCAGCCTGACACACTAGAGGACAGAAACAAATGACATCATTTAAAAACAGCAACTTGATATTGACCAGGCGTTGGCCTATGGGGCGCCCTCTGGTGGCCAATGCTGTAACTCAGAGGTGCGCAGTAAACATTGGGATCAACCAGTGGGTCGCAAAGGCAGTACTGGTAGATCATGAGAAATTAAAATTTAAAAGAATCTTTTTTTATAATAAATCTCTAGAATTAGATTAGCAATAATACAAATCATGGATCAACGGATGGCATTAGGGGGCGCCAAACCCTAAATTCACCTGAGGTACAAACGTAAACACACAAAGACGACTCTTGGACCTGATGAGCTGTAAAGCTGCTCTATGCTAGACAGGGGGCGCTGTCTCGACCCTGAACCTGTAACTCTGTAAACCTCAAACTCTTCCTCGTCACCATTTTGAATTCCTCGGTCGTTGCCTCCCCCTCTCCGTGCCGTGCGATCCAACCATCCATCCTCTCCCCTCTCCTCCACAGGGATCTCCCCCCGTCCCTCACCCACGTTTCCCTTGCTTTCCCTCCGTCTGATCTCTGACCTCGGCCAAACAGACAAACATTTATGTAGCAAAAGCAACACTGATATTCCTGTCGTTCAGCAGAGACACCCCAACCTTTCCACCACTCCCCCGCTCCTCCCCCGCTCCTCCCCCCGACTCCCCTGCATGATGCATTTGTGGTCTGACATTTGATCTTTTTTTTTACTTTCCTGAAGTTGAGTTTAATCCTCATCAACAAACTGTTCTCTGTCCATTTCTGTGTCACAACATTTTGTTCTTTATCTTTTTATTAATTTTATTACATTTTTATTATTGACATTTTTTGTTAACTTAAACTTGGCAGTCGAGGCAGAAACAGTGATTTGAGCTTTTACTGAAACTGAAACATTCACAGATTTACAGACAAAGAACAGTGTTGAGTTTACGGCCACAGGTCGACTAGAATTACCCAAAGTTACCACTGGGGGTTCCAGTGAGTAAGGGTCCCACAGAGCAGTACCGACTTTAGTTCTAACGTTGAGGTGTAGCCGATCGCAGGAACTTTTTTTTTTCCTTCTCCTCAGAGGAGGTGAAAATATGAGTACGATTTAAACGACATTTAAAAATAAACCAAACCGTTAACATTCACTCTGGGACAGGAAATGTAAACAGCAGTTTTCACGGGTGTTTATTACAACAAACAGGTTCACTGAGAAGAACCGCTGTGTCTTATGGTTGTGTACTGCGCCTGTAGGTGGCGCTGTAGGACGGTATCGATCCCACAGCACAACCAGCAGCCCATGTTTGAGTGTGTGTGCGTGTGCGTTTGCACGTGTGTGTTTTCCGTCCCTCTCTGCAGGGTGGAATCCAGGGCACTGATTGGTCCTCGCTCTGTTGAGCAACTCAATTATTCCTCTTAATACCAGTAACGCCATGACACCTCAAACTGCTAACTCCCCCCTCCTCCCTTTGCCTCCCCCTTAGACACACACACACACACACACACAGAGTGAGCTCAGCTGATGCAGCAGGGAAACATTTGTTTCCTTCTTCAGAAAAGGTCATTTCATCTGACGTTCATAAAAACTGCTTCATTATTTATCGGGGCTGATGTGAAATGTTTGTGACTCCATGGATCTCATCTGTGTGTGTGTGTTATTTATGGTGTTTATGTGTGTGTGTGGGTGTGTGTTCGTGTGTTCAACATGGTTCTGCAGAACAATCTGCAAGAAGAAGGAAGGAAGATAAGGAAGGAAAGAACGAAGGAAGGAAGGAAGAACGGCCGTACAGAAGGGAGGAAAATAAGGAAGGACGGATGTAAGGAAAGAAGGAAGATAAGGAGGAAGGAAGGAAGTAAGGACGGAAGGAAGATAAAAAAAGGAAGGAACAAAAAAGGAAGGAAAGAAGGAAAGAAGAAAAGAAGGAAGGAAGGAGAGGAGAGGAGAGGAGGAGGGGGGGATCAGGGATGAGCTCAGCTGTGTCCTCGCCCCGATTTCAATCTCACCTCAAATAATTGGGCTGAATTAATCTCACAGTGGGCACACACACACACACACACACACGTGTACTCTCACACTCACACACACTCACATAATGATGTGTTCTTGGTAACAGTCCAATAACGTATGTTCACTCTCTCTCTCTCTCTCTTTCTCTCTCTCTCTCTCTCACACACGGACCATTTTCCATATGGAATGCAAAGACAGCATGTGAAACACACACACACACACAGAACACACACCCTGCTGTGAGCGCTGTGGCAGGCGTCACAGTCGGACATGAAATACTGTCCAATAGCATCATTCATCTGCATCCCATTCCCCCCCTCCTCCCTCCTCCTCCCCCCTCCTCCCCCTTCTTTCTCTCCTTCCCTCTGCTCCCTCCATCCTTTTCATCATTACTCTTTAAACTCCTCCTCCTCTTCCTCCCATTACCATCCATCCCTCCATCCCAGTGCATTCCCATGTCGGTTTCCCCCCCACCCCTCTCTACTTCTCCCCCCTCCATCCTTCTCCCCCTCCATCCTTCTCCCCCTTCTTGCCCCTGAACCTACAGCGAGTCATGTTAAAGTGTGTGATGATCCTCGGATAAATCTGGTTCTACGTCACCTTTGTTGTGTG